TTTGAGGCTCCGTAGAAATCAGGTAGTTCGATGTTATTAATTGTGCTACATATTTAATTATCATTTCTATTTTCTGTTCTTTTCTCTCCAGGCCAAAAGAGAAGAAGATAAACAACAGTAAGTTCTACTCCTGAGGACTCTCCTGTGATCTGTGCACTTCCAGGTCTTCCAGTTGGGACGTGTTTTCACACCAACAATCCAGCGCCACCCGACAATATTTTATATTTATTTAAGATTTTAAGAAGAAAGCTTGTGGTCCTCATATTTTCAGCATCATTGAAGAGATTCCCTGAAGCCGTCGGCCTGTAATCAAACTGCATCGAGCCGCTCTGATGGCTTTCTGACCTCAGTCATTATTATTTCAGCACAACGAGGGAAGTTTGTTGTTTTGTGACTTCGGGTTCTTGTGAGTGTGATGGAGCTGCCGTGTTTTTGCCGTGTCGTTTTGACCTTTCTCTCAGATCAGATAATTGAAGTGTAATCCAGCGTTTCCTGTATTTAATGCGAACGGTGTTTGTCGATCTCCCATGATTCCTCTGTGACTTCCTCATGATCTGAGTCAATAAAGTGTGCTTGGTGTAACCGAACCGTCGTCTCTGTTTTCTTAAACTGGAGCCATTTCAGCAGCGTTTGTCTTCCGGCTGGCTTTTAAAGAACTGGGTTACTGGGACTTAAAATAACCGCGGGGAGTTTCCAGTTGCCCTCGAGCTGCTGCTAAACAGGTCGGGTGTTAAATTCAACAGCTGCTGTGTGCAGTCAGGATGGCCGAGCGGTCTAAGGCGCTGCGTTCAGGTCGCAGTCTCCCCTGGAGGCGTGGGTTCGAATCCCACTTCTGACAGACGTGTTTTAGATCGAAGTCCGGTTCTAGGTTCCTGAAATGACTTAGTCATCAATAAATGTACGAATTAATCACACATAAACATGCAGAAATATGTGAATAAATTCATAATAAGGACAAATAATAAGTAGGAAAGCACTACCTCTATATTTCTATATAAATTTGGTTGTAACTTCCTACTTATTAAAAGCTTACTCACATATTTCTGCATGTTTATGTGTCATTAAGTCGTGCATTTATTGACATATTACTTGAAACTTCAATCTAAAACACTTCTGTCAGAAGTGGGATTCGAACCCACGCCTCCAGGGGAGACTGCGACCTGAACGCAGCGCCTTAGACCGCTCGGCCATCCTGACGATAGCAATACCCAGCAGGGCGTGAAAAATCGATTTTCTATAAACCACAGGCTCCTGATTTATTTATGACATCTGCTCTTATTAGCAGAGTACGTTGATGGAAACAGACTTCAAATTAAAAAATAAATATTTTTAAAAACAGATTAAATTAATCAAATGATTTTAATATTTATAAACAAACGTTGAAACAGTAATGAGGTCCAGGGGCTGGAAATAGACATTAAAAAAATAAATACAGAGGTAAGTCATAAATTAGTGCCTTATTAATTTATTTGTTTATTTAATTTAAAATGTGATTAATTTATTTAATTCATTTTTTAAAGTATTTTTTGTCAGTATTCAGACAGAAATGCATAAACAGCATAATGCATAACATTTAATAAACAAATATATTTGTTTATAAATTTTGTAATTATTTGATTAATCCTTTTTGTAGGTTTAAAAATATATATTTGAAGTCTGTTTCCATTACTTTGCCAATAAAAGTAGTATATATCATAAATATATCAGTAGACCATGGTTTATAGAAAATCGATTGTTTACGTCGTGTCGATTGGCGGAAACGTCAGGATGGCCGAGCGGTCTAAGGCGCTGCGTTCAGGTCGCAGTCTCCCCTGGAGGCGTGGGTTCGAATCCCACTTCTGACAAAAACCTTTTCAGCGCATTCAAACAGATCACGTGTCAAAACCAACAACCCACATTCAGTAACACAGAACATGTTTAAATGGTAGAACCGACACAGTATGAAAGAACACCTTCAAAGTCAGCTCGTGCATAAAATAAAACACTTCATTTGTGTAACAGCTCCCCTCCAACACGATACTAGAAGAAGGTTAAAAAGATGTGTATACAATTATCATTTAAACTTTTTTAAGAGGGTTGATATTATTAATAATGAAAGATTGGTATTTTATGAAATATAGTTTATTAATATAATCTAAAATTTAAAAAAGTGACCATATGGAAAGTATGACAATAGTACTTTATTTGCATAACAACTTACATGCAGCTCAAAACATTAAAAATAAAATACAAAACTAAAACATTAAAAATAAAACAATATGGCACAACCTGTAGTAGGTGGTGCTATATATTATGTGTTTGAAGTGCTGTTTTCTGACTTATTGAACATGTATTTCAACAAACTTATACAAAATATTGTTTAAAATCTCCGCTATAGAGACATTAAAAAGTCCCATTGTGTCCCATATGGTCTAGCGGTTAGGATTCCTGGTTTTCACCCAGGCGGCCCGGGTTCGACTCCCGGTATGGGAACTGCTGTTTTTCCTTACAGTGTAAAGACCTTACAAACTTAGACGTCAACCTGATAAACAACGCATTTTAGAAGGTTAGGTTTTTATCTTCCCGGTCATGGAGGTGAAGGGGCGGGTCTTCCACGTGACCCGTCGGTTGACCCTCGACCCCGCTGCACTGCTGCACCTGGAGACGTTTGTTTTATTTTTCATGTTTTTTTTAATTTGTAATTTTATTGTTTGTTTCGACATTAATCAGCTGGCACCCACTGTGTTTCCTTTCATAGAAGGTAAATACATCGCGTTGTGTTTTTTATTAAGCGTAATTAAGATGCGGTTCGTTAAAATTCGATGCTAACCGGTTAGCTCATTAGCGAGCTAGCATAACGTTCGAGGCAGCGGCCGCCATTTTGTTGCGTTGTTGGCTAAGCTAAAGCTACAGCTAACTCGACGCGGGAGAGCAAAGAAGGATGTGAATGAGTAGAGCGACCGAGAAAACTGTGGACCATGTAGGAGAACCCGGAGATGGATCCCGCTGGACTACAACGTCAAGTGGACTGTTTCGGCCCGCCTCCCTCCCTCCGTTAGCCGCGGCTAATCTCCCTTCATCCGGCCCCTGCTTCCGA